TGAATGAGGCTATAAAAGGGCAACATGAGGAACCCTTGTTGTGGCAGAAGTGTTCTATATCCTGACTATATCAATGTCAATATCCTGGTTGCGATATTGTAGTGCAGTTTTGACAGTTGTTACCATCAGGGGAAGCTGGGGTAAGGGTACAAGGGATCTCTTGGTATCATTTCTTACAACTGTATGTGAATCTATAATGATCTCAAAATAAGAAGTTTAATTTTAAAATAATGAAAATAAAAACAAATCAATCTGGGACTAAAATACCAGAAATTAATCCATAAAGAAATTTATAGAGCAATTTCAAGAAATGTTGGCTTCATACATAAATTATACATAACACACCTATGTTTATCTAAATATGCTTCCAAAGTATATTTCCTCCAATATCTATTTTTCCCACTAGGAAACCTCATCTTAGTAAACTCTATGACCCTCTATGGCCAGCCAGCAAAAGTATTTTGGACTACAAATTGACAAATGCAGATTTTTCAAGATTCATAGTAATATTTTTGTGTGTTGTGTGTGAGGAAGATTAGCTCTGAGCTAACATCCGTTGCCAATTCTCCTCTTTTTTGCTGAGGAAGATTGGCCCTGGGCTAACGTCTGTGCCCATCTTCCTCTACTTTATAAGGGACGCTGCCATAGCATGGTTTGACAAGCGGTGTGTAGGTCCACACCCGGGAATCCGAACTTGTGAACCCTGGGCCGCAGAAGCAGAGCACATGAACTTAACGGCTACGCCACCAGGCTGGCCCCTCATAGTAATATTTTTTTAAAAAATTTTTTCCTAATGAATTTCTTGGGTCACAATATTAAGTGAATGGTCTCTCCAAAAATTACACAGCAGCTTCTTTCTTTTACTGTTAGGTTTTAAAACTGCAATTGCTTAAAAACACAACACACATACCTGCGCCCACATACACACACCACTCCTGCTCCAGGATGCTAGTGCTAACAATTCCAGGACCATTTGCACTTTCTTTCTCCTCTACTTTAACTCAACACCAAATCTGACCCTAGCCACAGTGGCCCAAAATGACCTGGAAAATTAAGTTTATTTTTTCTGGCAATGACAACCTGTGCTTGGAAATATAAAACTGTTATTCCGAATAAATTTCAAAGTTCCAAAGTACTAAAATTACTTTGCTGAAACAGGACAAAATGAGCTGTTACTGCTAGGGAAAGGGATTGTTATCCCAGAAAGAACAGTGTGCTCTCCAGCCCTTGCACTGCCACTTCTGTTTTGTAAAATAAACAACTCTGGTCTCTTTATTTTACTTTGTGTCCTGTGGTAATAAATATCTCCTGAAGCTAAAATCCTATTACAAGTGTTCATTTTGTCACCATTTACAAAAACAAGAGATCAGTTTTACTTTTGCAAAATAGCCGATTTTTCCACTAGTTTGTTGGGGTGTTTTGACTTCTGTGTATGTTCCCTAGCAAAAACAGCAAAAGGAAAGTTGCTCATTGCTTTTTTTCTAAAAAGAGGAGTCCATATGTCTCTAAAATGTGTTGACATTCAGGAGGGGAAAAGATATAGAATTATTACTTTGCTGATCTGTTAGTGTTGTTTTAGTTTTAAGTTGTGATTTTAAGTTTGAAATCCTAAACACAGAACTGTACTACCATTACAAGCACATTCTGCTTTCAAAATGCTGGATGAAAATTCTAGCAAAGCTGTTGGTTATCGGAGGTCCGAGATAGGCAGGAGGCAGCTCAGTCTAGAGAGAGAGATTTAGAGACATGGTCCAAGCCCTGTAGAAGTAAACTGTCGAGTCTAGCAGCGGACAAAGGAGATGAGTGTGGTCTTGCTGTCCAGCCATGGGCCTGTGGTGCATTTTCTGTCACTTGGGGATACGGAAGTTTGAGATGTATCTTATGCTCAGTCAGAAACTGTGATAAAAAGCAAAAAGATCCAGGAATGGGAGTCAAAAGATTATCTTATCCTTTCTTCCCTAAGTTTCCCTAAGAAGATAAGACCACGAGGAGATGATTTAACAATCTTAGCCCTGTGATCAGGCAATGAATTTTCTAACTACAGCTTATCATCATCAACACTCTCCTCCACACTTTCCCTTTGGTGCCATCTCCCTCACCACCTTTACTGTTTCTTGCAATTCTTTCTACTAGTATTTTGCTATTAATAGTACAGTGTAGTACAGTCATTTCCACATTCTTTATCACGTATCTTTCATGTAATTTATCAACCATCCCATTTCCATATCACACAGCAAAAGTACAGAAAGAAAGAAAGAGGAAAGGCTCCCCTCCCTTTCTCTTCCCTGATTTCTACACTAACCTTCCTTGCCTAGACACAAAAGAAAAAGGAAACACAGCAGGGGTTTCTCTAGAAAGAAAAGCCAGCATAAAAACTAACAAAAGTTAACAGGAGAACAAGAAAAAAAAAAGCCTTTGAGAGATCTCTCTGTTACTGCACACTGATCCACCTGCCTCACATCCTTTTTTAACCAATAAAGAAATGGAGGACAATTTCCAAGCCATTATGAAAAAAAATGATTTGTTTTCTTACTAATGAAATGGTTCTAATCTAAAGTGTTCCTATTGCCATTATAAGTTGTCTATCTATCTAACATGATTCTGTATAGAATGATGTATGCAAGCTGACTAAATAGATAATACTGCCTGATCACTAGGCAACTTCACAAGTTTACATTAGGGACAGTCTAGATGAGTCAAACACAGGTAAGAAGTTATGGAAAACAAGTAACTGACTTGTTCTCAGACTGTGCTTTAATAGGCTGCGGGATGCACGTAGCATGTATACATTTTGGTTGTTTTATAATCAAGTACCCAGAACAGTGTCTGGCACACAACAGACAATAAATACTTGCTGTATAAATGTATATAACGTGGGTCTGAACAAATGCACAGCTGCACTTTACATCTAAACATTCAGCAAGACGAAGGCTACAATCAGCATACTGGTCCAGGGCCCTAGGCCGCTGAGCTGCTCCTGGCGTCCCCACTTCTCTGCATTGTACGGACAGCTGCCTGCCATTCCTGCTTTGAGAATATAACTGTAGATATACGAAATGCTTGGTTTTAGCATTTTAAGTAAATTTTATTTACTTAAAAATTTAAAATTTACTTACAAGTAAATTTTAAACAATTTACTTATAAAGTACCTTAAACATGAGAAAAAACATTCTACAACTCTCATAGAAACCTTGTCAAGATAAATACATACTCTTTCATGTATTCAAAACATTTACATTGTTAAACATTCTCTAACTTGGCCAGCTCTTTCTCACCAGGAAGCTTCTGTTCCCTTGGCCTGGGATGCTCTATTCCCCGTCTGTCTATGGAAACACTCACCATTCAGGGGCCAATCCCAGTTCCATCTCCTGCACAAAACTCCTCCCGTGACCATCCCCATTCTCAGAGAAGGCACTCTCTTATACGACATTTAAATCATACACTGTGTTTTAGAGTTATTTTTTTCATGTCATGATATATTCTCTTCCTGACAGATGATTGGCATCTGAAGAGTACTGTTTCTTGCAGATTGTTGTTTTATTTTTGTTTTTTTGTTGTTGTTGTTGAGGAAGATTAGCCCTGAGCTAACATCCGTTGCCAATCCTCCTCTTTTTGCTGAGGAAGACTGGCCCTGGGCTAACATCCATGCCCATCTTCCTCTACTTTATATGTGGGACACAGCCACAGCATGGCTTTGACAACTGGTGTGTAGGTCCACGCCCAGGATCCAAAGCTGTAAAACTTGGGCTGCCAAAGCAGAGCGCACGAACTTAACCACTATGCCACCGGGCCGCCCCATTTTGTTCCTTTTAATCTCTACCACACCAGACTCATATATTGAAAGAACTCAGCTGAGGGAGAGAAGGACATTCCATGTCTTCAAACACATATAAGCACCATTTCTCAGATAAGCAGAGCATAGATGAGCTCTCTCTCTCTCTTACACTCAACTTAAAAAGTGAAGTGAATTAAACACAATTGTTTGAAAGATCTTTTCTGGTAACTGAACTTCCCTTCCAGTTCCTGGTAGGTCACAGTTTACATAAATTTGAAGGACATATAGTAACAGTAAGCATCAAGTTCAATCAGTACATGCTAACAGGCAGCCCAAAGCAAGACGCACAGAGCACAAAAGCATATCTGAGAGTTGACTGCAATTTTTCATTAAAAAGTAACAGATTGGTGGTTATTAAGAGTTGACTATAGATTTACTGAACATCCTGAATGATTAATGATATAGCTAAGGTTTGGGGTTTTAATTCACAATTTGTCAATTAGTTTCAAAGAGATATTTTTAAAATCACACTGTTAACAATGTAGACATTGCCAAACTAAACACGGGAGAAATGCTTTGCCTGTGGACAGACATGAACTAACACAGAGGAGAGTAGCATAGAAACTTGAAGAAGAACTGATCGTCAACAGATTAAATGAGTGGCATAAATGAAAGGGCTTAAAACAGTGCCTGGTGCACGGTAAGTGGCAAGAATTAGGGTGAAACTGAAATAGATTCCCATAGAGAGAGAGACTTGAAAATTAAACATCATATAAAGTTACAAACTAATTACTAATTTCTGTGGTGGTTTACTCCTAATTATTTGTTTTGCAAATACAGAATAAGGATCACTTAAAATTTTAAACAGACCATTTCAAGTTTTTAAAAAAAAAAAAGTTTTTTTCTGAAAAGCTGCTAGAAAAATATGTAAATATAGTATTTGGACATTCCCGGGCCCTTTTCTCACAAGGGCTACACAAACACCTGGTCAAACACTGCTGGAATCACATATCTGTCTTGTTTCGCAGGTCAAACATTCTTTGCACTGAATTGAATTCTGCAATTCTGACTATTATGATTATTCCCTTCCCCGTTCCACCAATTCAATGAAGATCCCCTAACCAAAACAAATATAAAACCTCTCAATTCACTTCCCTAGGTCTTAGAATTTTCTGTTAAAATGCTGTTAATGATTATGCTGTAATAACACAATATAATATCATACCTTCTGGATTTCTTCAGGTAATGCATGCATGGGAATGTGACGATCCATAATTTCCCAAAATATACTGAGGGAGCTCTGAAGTAAAATAATCTAAAAACATTGATGGCAATAGTCAGAATTGAAATAATTTGAAGGAAATTCAAATTAAAAGATATAAATTCCTGGGAGTATTTGGGGATGAATGGTGATAAGTGTTTCAACAGATGTTTGTTTCATCAACTCAATGTTACAAGGTACAACTGGGGTTTTCTCAGTTAGTTATTAGGCCAACAGAACAGGAAGGATCTATAGAGAGAGACTACTGAGTTAGAAACGATATTTTCTTTCTTAGAACTTTACAGTCTAATTGTAATTTCTGTGGTGGTTTACTACTAATTCTTTGTTTTGCAAGTATGGAATAAAGATCACTTAAAATTTTACAGAGACTCATTTATTTCAGTTATTTTAAAAAAACAAGTTTTTCTGAAAAGCTGGTAGAAAAATACCTAAATATACTCTTTTAGTTAAGCAGAGAAGAAAAACAATAGTGACATGAATGTTGGTTTAAATGATGAAGTACAGAAAAAAATATTTAGAGTTAGATTAAATATGATATGCAGGCACTGAACAGAGTCGTCACAGCATGAGAAGCCAAGCATCGATTTTACCTAAGATGGACATTTATATAACTTTTATGCAGATATTTTACTTTTAATAGGTTTTCATTTTCTAATAAAACAATTCAATATAAAACTCCATGACTACTTCCATAAAACCACACAAGATGACTGGAGGAGCATTTTGAGTTTTTTTTTTTAATCTTTCCCAAATATGGAGAAAGAATAGACAGTCCAGTTTCACGACTGAGAAATGTTTATACACATCTAAGGAGTGAGGGATGACGGGAGGCAGCAGAGTAAGATGAAACAGGCACAATTCCACAGCAAGGAGAAGGCCTGAGGGCCAGGAACAATCTAGGAGTTCAGGAAAGAAAAATGACTTATCTTTCTGATGGGAGTGGGGAATTAGTGAAGGCTTCCTGAGGCTGTTTGCTTCTGATCAGGGCAGGATTTTGACAAAGAGAGCCTGGAGAGGCATAGTGCTCTATCAGAGACAGCAACCTCAGCCACAGCAAGGTGGCAGGGAAATTGTAGTTGACAAAAATTCCTGTAGTGGCAGTATTTTTTTAAATCGTGCAACCATTGCTGGAAGAGAAAAGTCTCCATTCCCTGTGTTAGCACAAAGCCCCCTGTTTTAAAGAGCAGATGTTTAAAACAAATAACTAATGGGCTGTCTTCCCATATAAACGTAACACAATGTAGTGTGTGTGTTTAGTAAAGTTAACTAGCATAGTTAACATAGGCCCACATGGCCAGGTGCATAATAACCTGTTGGCTGGCAGACTGTCTTGGTGATGTGGTAAGAGCTCGTTATTCACAGAAGGCTCATTATTCTCATCTCTGCCTTTTTACAGTGGACTCACCATCAGTAAAATAAGATGGCATCATCTTAATTAAACTCTATTGGGAATAGAATTTTTCCTAAAATTACCAACTAAATCTCCTTTTAAAATTCCACCCAAAAAATTACTTGGGAGCATGGATCTAGCGACAGTATAAAGAAGGCACCAGTGGAACAGTTTTTATTTAGTATCTTCATTGTCTGTGATTCTATTCCAACTTGTGGCCTTACTATACCAAAGGGGAAGAATTGGCAGGTTCTGATTACTGAGGAAAAATTAAAAAAAAAAAAAATATCCCGCCAACCCAGAAAATCTCTCCACAATGCAGAAATAAAAGTTTTTTTATAGAATAAGCATTTAACTAGACTGTGACGCACATCACGGCCAATTGGCTAATGAGATTACAAAGAAAGAAATCCCACTCTTTATACAGCCAAGCAGATACAATCCATTACATACATTTCTCAAGATAAACGTCAACTTGTCCTCCACACAGCTTGCTATACACTCTCTCATGGTTCATTTTAAATTCACCCGGTAATTGAAGTAGCCATTCGTGCTAGCTAATTGCGTTTGTTCTCAAGAATACATATCTCTACGACAAAGCACTTGGTTACTAGAAGTAAGGCCCCTAGGCTAAACTTCCAGTGATACGTAGAGAGGGGCGCTATCTTCCTTGACGTTGACCTGTTACAGAAATGGCTCCCAGGTCCTCGAGAAAATACATTCTGGGTCTTTAAAAGATTTGCATACATATTAAAGGAAAAGAGGAAGCATTCACAATTATGAGGTTTCTCAAGAAAGGCAGGGGGAAGGTCTCTTTCTTTTTTGGCAACAGGAAAAAATTTTAATTTTTAATTTACCCTTGTATTACTTCGTGTTTTATCAAATGAGTCCCTTTTATTCTTTCCCATTACACACGTGTAGACTGCCCTTCGGCAAGGGCTGTGGCGACAACTGGCAGCAGGTACGTAGGCATCTGTGAGCCTAACAGGATCACGAGGAGATGTCAGAAACACACATCCTCGACTGCTGCTTCCGACGCCCTTCCTCACACCAGCGTCCCGCTGGGCCATCAGCTCCCGCTCGGCGTTCAGGCCCCTCCGCGGAGAACCGCAGGCCCGGCGCGAGTCACCGCACCGCGCGCGGCGGCGCCGGGGCCAGTGCGGAAGTGCACGTCCCCAGACTCTCCTGGGGCGGCGGGATTTGCCCAACAGAGACCAACTGCGAGGCCGGCCGGCGCTGCTGGCAGGGTCTCAGTCTGCGCCGCTCTAACCCGTTCCCTGGGCCCCGCGGGCAGGAAGAGGAGGAGGAGGGTGCGGGGGGCGCGAGCCGCGCGCTCCGGGGGAGAGGAGGGCGCCGGACCGGGCGGGCTCGGAGACAGGCGGGGGGCGCAGGAGACGAGGCGGGGCGCGGGCCCAGCTCTGCTTTCCGGCCCTCTCCCGGGGCCAGCCCGCCTCCACTCCGGAACCGCGTCCCGGGCACCGGGTCATCCGGGGCTCACGGAAGACATTCATTGTCTCTCACCTAGACCTCGACTCCGCCGGGTGCGAAACGGCTTCCCCGGTCTCCCGGGAGACCGGGCCGCACGTCGGCTTGACGTCAGGGCGCGGTGACGTCGCGGCCCACGCCGCTCGCCAACGCGGAAGCGGGGCTCTGCTGCCCGGCCCCTGCCCAGCGCGCAGGCGGAAGCGGGAAAGCTCGTGGCGGGGACTGGAGGGAAAGGCTCCTCTTACGCGAGCGCTGGGAGAGAGAGGGAAGGGGCATGGAGGCGAGGCGGGAAAGGCGTGCTGGAGTAGTGGGAGCAGTCGCTCCCACTGGGGTGGAGGGAGACGTCCCCAGGCCTGCGGCGGGTTGGAGAGACATGCTGCCTGGGTTGGAGGCCAAAGTCCATCTCACTATCACACCTGGCTCTAGGGCTACTGTGGCGCACCCAGCACTGGGCAGTTACTACTCTTGAGCGGAAAGAGGAGACATCATGGCTTGTAGAGGTCATGGGTGTAAAGGGCATCTCTGGTCTCAGTCATTCTAGCCAGAACAAGTTAATTGGAAAAGTGTTGGTAAAATTTTCATTCTAGTGCAAAAGTAGTCAAGATGGTGGGCTTAGTTTAAAAGGTATCTTGACTTCTCCTGCCATGCTGAGGCCACGTCCCACATAGAGCAACTAGAAGGATGTGCAACTATGACATACAACTATCTACTGGGGCTTTGGGGGAAAAAAGGAGGAGGATTGGCCATAGGTGTTAGCGCAGAGCCAGTCTTCCTCAGCAAAAAGAGGAGGATTAGCATGGATGTTAGCTCAGGGCTGATCTTCCTCACAAAAAAAAAAAAAGGTATCTTGAGACACCTAGTCCACAATTTGTTTATTTATAGAAGGCTTCCCACCCTTATACCTGACTTACTTTCCTTCCTTCATTCATAAAGCAAGGATTTATTGATGACCTACTACGAGACAAGCGCTGCATACCAGGATGGATGATGCTCTGTGACTAACTCAGGCAGGGGCAGCCATTGGTATGATTTGCAAGTGACTCAGTCATAGCCCACGTATCTCCTCGTTGGGGATTATATGAGGTCAAAAATGCAGCTCTTCCAAGAAACAAAACGGTTGGAGACTCACTAGCAGGGAAAGAGACAGCAGCTACTATTGAATGAAGTAAGGTTGAGTAAATACAAAGGAAGTTAATTTAAATCTGTAGATTTAGAAGTGATCCATTGATGCAGAGCAGTGCTGGAACAGAGTCAGACTGCTGGTTGATAGCTATTTATTAATGAAAATGACAGCATGAAGTACTGAACACCTAAAAGCTTTGTTCCTCAAAGCACTAAAAGTCTTGGGGATAGAGGTACCCTGTACACTTAACCTGACTGATATTTTTGCCCTAAGGTCTACCAGCAACTCTCTGTTTCCACCCCCTCAAAGAGAACATCTTTCTTCATCTGGAAAGATAAGCAATAATTGGAGGAGTGGAGAGAGGATTGAGGGTTGCAGAGGACAGCCAATGAAGTATCAAGTAGAGCATGCTTAATGAGAAGCACAAAGGTTTCAGAGCTATTCATCCTCAGTATGTTTCTTTGAGGGACAATGAAGGTAGAACTGTTCTCATTTTTGTAACAATGGGGGTTTAGGTATAGGGCACAAAAAACAGTTCATCCAGATCCATTGAGTGCTTTATCTGGAACAGGAATTGCACACCTAAAGCAAGATCACTCTGTTCTGAGGCTAGTTTGGCTAGTAGTATGATTAGTAGCAATCATAATATTTCCTGAGTACTTTCTGTATATGATAAGGAAAGGAAACATTTTAAGGATGGGAGAAGATCCAACTGAAAGGCTATATAATTCATTCTGTGGTTTAATTTCATCTGTACTTATTCATCTCTACATTGGCCTTGAGACCAATTTTCCTTCCACTGTTGGTGTCCCTTAGACCTGCACTGTCCAAGAAGATGGCAGCATGTGGCTATTTAATTTAGTAAAAATGAAATAAAGTGTAAAATTCCATTCCTTTATTGCAGTAGCCACATTTCAAGCGCTCAGTAGTCACCTGTTGCTACCGCATAAGACAGCACATATATAGAACATCTTCATCATCCAAGAAAGTTCTATTGCACAGTGGAAGCCCAGGAAGAAATTCAAGGATAAAGAGAGTTGATCAATTGTGAAGAATAGCCTTTGTTAAAGAGTAGCAGTGAAAAGTGTTATTCCTGAAGACCACAGCACAGATGACGAGTTGTGACAGGGTGTTACAAAATAGGTTTAAAAAAAAAAAAGTGATCCAGTAAGCCTCTCCCCAGTGTTGGTGCTTGTTTTTCCTCGGTTCTCTGTTGGGCTCAGTCTCTCCCTCTCTCTCTCAGTCCCAGTTTCTTTCTTTGTCCTTTTTGTTTTTCCTCTCCTTTTCCTCACCCAATTTTTGGCCATATTGGAACTGAAGTAGAATTTAAAATATTCGCATCATCGGACATACTGAATAAAGTTTTTTGTTACTCTATTCTTAAATTTTAAATCAGCTAAGTTTCACTTTTTACTGTGACTCAAAAATAATCTAGTGATAACTAAATTAAATTTCTTTTAACCTCTTCTGTGACCCTTTATTATTCTTTTTTCCCCTGTGGGTCAATCAGTGACTCCTGAAAGAAAAAAAAATGCTCCCTAGTTTTGGAGTAGAGTCTCTGTAAAGTGACTAAACGGTCAGGTCTTTCTACACAATCCCCAGACCTTTGTGATGTAGTATTAACGTTTATCAGAACACAGTGTTTGTGCTTGTGTTTCTGTTATGAATTTACCTAATTTATTTAGATATTTACAATATGTACAAAGATATTTAATTCATCCCATTCATTTTGGTAAGTAGTAGTATGTCCCCTCTCTTCTTCTCCTCCTCCCCCCATGAAAAGCATGTAGGAGAACAGGACTTTTGTGCAAGTCTGATAAAAACATTGGGAAATATACCCAAGATTGCTCATTTCAAAGTAAGCCCAGGACTGTACAAAGGGAGCAGGGCCAAATTTCAGTTAGCCCAACTTTATCTTTATCCTGTGAACCAAAACATAGGACAATGCTATCCCCTCAGAAGTTTGAATAATGTGATTGCAGACAGGCCTCCCAGGTTGGAAGCAACCACAGGTTTCACTGCTGTTTCTGGGTTCCATCCAATGCAAGTGCAGAATTTTTAAAAAGCTAACGTTTATTGGGCTCTTTTATTTGCCAGGCACTTCATTACACAATGTCTCATTTATTGACCCTTCCAAAGAACCCTTCCAAAGATAGCTCAGTCAGATCCTACTTATTGTTTACTTTTACCCACTGATGGAAGTGGCCAAGGGCATGGCCAGCACTGAAGTGTCCTTGGACTGAATGTGAGGGTAAGCAGGAGCACCTGGTCCTCAGGTATGTGTCAGCTGACTCTGCCAGCCAGCCATTATTCACGGGGCGGCAGCCTACTATGGATTAGTAACATATGTAAATAGCCCAAAAGTCTTTAATTCTGGAAACTGAACTTTGTCTTAAACTTACTTTCTTCCTAACTTTTCCCATACAGCTTCCAGTTTTCAAAAAAGAGGTCTGCTACAAGTGACCACTTGCTTCCTGTACTTACCCCAACACATTTTATTCCCACCAAGGTGTGGATTGGATTTTCTTTCCTAATACTGTTTTCTTTTCTTAACTGCTAACAACATTTATAGTTTCAGACTCCTTTGCAAAGCTGCTTTGTATATTTTGAACCCCAAATAACTCTAGTCTGGAGGTGGCTTTGGCCACAAAATACTGTTTGTGGGTTTACACTCAGTGTATTTTTGAATCCGTCACATGTGCAGTGTAAACTTGAGAACCTAATAAAATGAAAGTCCCAATGTTTAAATAGCATTTCTCTCTAGGAGTTCAAATGTTTTGTCATCTGTGCAGGAATAAATTGTGTACTGAATTCTTTTTAGCCCCGAGAATATGATTATGGAACAAAATTCCCAGTGAGACAAGTCAGGCCTTTAAATGATTAACATCTACTCTCAAATATTAAAAGGAAGTCAAGCACTACAGTGAAACCTTTGATGACTGTAAATATATTCTCTTGTGGCCTGTTCACTACTGATAAGAGCTTTAGCCAAAAACGCACTGTGTGCCAAATATAGTTTAATATTTGTTACATGAATATATTTAAAAACAAAAAAGAATAAAGCTCTAACGGCACTAACTTAAAACTCTTGTAATGAATTTGATGCTCAAAAACATGGTACTTATAGTTCTTTAAGAGATTAATCTGTAATGTAAATTACCCATATTCCTTTTATTAAACTCTTAGCATCCAATATCTAGCCTATAAGCATTTAATAAATGTTAATGAATGCAAAGACTGAAAATTTATGATTGCTTTATGCATTTAAAAAACAACTTTGTAGAATTTATTTGCTTGTTTAATGAAATGATTGCTTCTTTTTTTCTGAGATTTCCATAGGACTCTGATGAGGCATCTAAGAGTCTAACTCACATTTGTTTTGATAAGTGATTGGCAGAAGTGATTTCATTCTACCTTTATAGAGATGAAGTTCATGTTTCTGTATCTATAATTTTAGGTAGCTATGGAATTTATAGGAAACAAATTATAGCAATTTTCCTGTCATTTTGTTATATCTCATAGAATGTTTTAATGCCATTAAATGAGTTGTAAAACATCTTAAAGATATTTTCTTATGACCTATTGATAAAAAATATCAAATATTATTACCAGATCTATCAAATAGGTGAAAAAGATTAAAATAATTATAGTAGCCCTGGTTTGCAAGGGTATAGAGCAACTAGCACTCTTAAATATTGTTTTTGGAGTCACAAATTAGTACACTTATTATGTTTTAAACACCTAGAAATGTTCAAAACTATTGCAGTGGACACCTGATCCCCCTTCGTGCTTTTGTTCAGGAACCCAGACCTCTTCACCCGCCCTTCTCTCAACCCCCAAGCACATGTGTGAATCAGCCCAACTCTGAGAATGAGCTTAGATTAGGTCAGTTCTCCTAGTCCCTTCCCCTTTACCAGTGATTTAAACCAGGAATGGGCCAATGACCCAATTCTGACCAAACACGCTCCAAGAGAAGGTTGCTGGAAGC